ATCTCACTCCTGAGTGGACTCACACCAAACATCCAAGACTTGGAAGATGTATGTTAATCATAGTAATTATTTCTCATTATTTGGTGTATGTTAGCGCGTGATAGGGCATTTGAACCAGTGTTCTAATGAACTGTATATTTTCACCTCATAAATCAATGTTCTAATGAAAGTTTGTTTGTTCTGTAGAATGTAAAGGGCACCGAGAGGTACATTGATCATTATGATTTCCACCACAACAAAGTATTTCTCTACTTTCATAAGGTAATGCGAACATTTATGACTATGTCTGTATGTGTGGTTATATGTATGTATTGTCTCTACTGTTATTTTTATGCTTTTTTCTCTTGTAGAATTTCTATAAATGATTTTAAAAATGCCAGAATTTTTCTTTTTTAAAGTTACTCTTTTATTTATATGCTTTTTACTCTTGTAGAATTTCTATAAATTCTATAAAACTGCCAGAATTTTTTTAAGCTACTCTTTCATTTTTATGTTTTCCTTTTGTAGATTTTCTATGAATTCTATAAAACTGCCAGAATTTTTTTCTTTTTTAAGCTTCTTTCATTTTTATGCTATTTCTCTTTGTATAATTTCTATCAATTCTATAAAACTGCCAGATTTATTTTCTTTTTTTAAGCTACTTTTTCATTGTTTTGCTATTTTTCTTTTTGTAAGCTACTTCCATTTTGTCTAATTAAATCAAATGAAATCTTTGTAATTGTTTAATTTTGTGGATGCATTTTTACCCTTTTAGGATTTGAAGCAAAATTACCTATTTTTTTTTTCCCCCTGACCTGTTATAGGTAGTTTACCTGGGGGTGTGGACCAAAACAAAGCCCTAAAGACTCCACACACCCTGCAGAAGATGAAGTGTTAAATTATTTTCCCTTAGAAAACCAACACTAGGGGTGCACTAACTTTTGCATACGGCTGTAACGGTAATCCCGTGTTACGTCTTATGGTTCTTCTCGACAGCTCACTGAAGAGAGGGACTGTCTCCGGTTCCGTGTAGAGCAGATCGTTCCTGTCGGACTCGTTCAGCCAGCAGCTGCAGTTGTTTATGACTATTACAGTCCAGGTAATTGGTCAGTACAGCACTTAGCTGAGGCCTCTGCTTAACAGCAATACATACATGTTCATTCATCCACTCTGTTGGGTTTACAGACAGGAGGTGCAGCATATTCTACACTGCGCCCAAGAGCAGCCCCATGCTGTCCAAACTGTGTGAGGCAGACGTGTGTACATGTGCTGAGGGTGAGTATGGTGTCCATCTGCGCCGTAAACAACATGAGAGCAAATGTCTAACACAAGAAAATGAACAATGAAAAACTTCACAATTTAGTCCTAACAAAGAATAGGGCATAAGTTTGTGGTCCATATTTCATGCCGAACTGTATGCACTTCTTTTCCTACGTATGATGCATTTCAGGCTATTTGCTACACTCTTAAAAAAGATGGTTCTTCAAGGGTTCTTTATTGAAGAAAATGGTTCTGTATAGAACCATGAACACTTAAAGAACCCTCTGCATGATTAAAGGTTATTTACATCATGAAAACGTTCTTTAGATTGATGGAGAGTGTGCTGTAGACGGTTCTATATAGAACCTTCTGGAAAATGGTTCTATATAGCATCCAAAAGCGTTCTTTAATTATTATGATGTCAAGCTTGTCACAATAGAAGAACACTTTTGGGTGCTATATAGAACTCTTTTCAAAAAGGTTCTATATATTTTTTTGTTACTGTGTCTGACGTACTGTATGTAAATAAGCTATGTTCTGATTGGCTGCTCTACATTGTGCCTCATATAGAAGTCTTTTCAAAAAGGTTCCATATAACCCTTACAAGATGCAAAGAACACTTTAATCTTGCAAAAGGTTCTTTGAGCGTTTGTGGTTCTATATAGAACCATTTTCTTCACTAAAGAACCCTTGAAGAACCTCTTAGAGTATATAAGAGAGTATTTAATCCTTTTGTATTTGGTGCATAAACCCAAATGAAAACCTTATTTAAAAAATAAATAAATAAATAAATAAATAAAAAAGTAGGATATGGGCCCTTTAAAAGCACTTTTTTGTTACTATGTTGATATACTGTATGTAAATAAGCTATGTTCTGATTGGCTGCTCTATATTGTGCCTCATATAGAAGTCTTTTCAAAACGGCTCTATGAAGGACCGTCTATAGCACATTCATGCACAAACTCCATCAATCTGAAGAACCCTTTCATGATGCAAAGAACCCTTTAATCATGAAAAGGGTTCTTTGAGTGTTCATGGTTTTATATAAAATAATTTTCTTTATTACAGCTTGTCACAATAGAAGAACCATCTTTTTTTTAGAGTGTATACTTTAATTACATTCTTCTCATGTAGCTGAAGGTAAATATTCCATACTGATGTTTTGATCAGGTAAAAATTAAAGGTAGTATGTGGAGTAGGTGGCCTTCAGGCACTGTGACCTTAGTAACTATGGCCTATGCACAAAAGATGGCCTGTGCAAAAGTTGCACTATATACAATATGTTCCCCCTCAATATGTTAAATGTTTACATTTGTAAGAAAAAAGATACTGAAAGTTAACGTAGAGGATGTTTTAACCTACTTTCACTAATCAACAAAACAATTTCACTAGGAATTTTCAAACAGATCTGAAAATTAACATTGCGAAACTTTAACAATGTTTAAATACTACATTAAACTTATTTTGAAAAAGCAAGGAAACTTAAGTTTTCCATAATATGGGCCCTTTAATATTCCAAATCCCTGAACTGACCATATACATCTGACTATATTAGTGCACATCTGCTGTACATGACCAACTCTTTACTTTACTGTAGGCGGCTGTCCACGCATGAAAGTCACATTCAGCAAGAATATGGAACAAGACACCCGCAGCCGTTACGCCTGCTTTTCTCCCATCGTTGATTACGGTAAGGAAATTAGATGTTGGAAAAAGAAGAGCCTAAAATTCATAAATAAGCGAATGAATGCATGACTGAATTCCTTTCTACAGTTTACACTGTCAAGATCCTGAACTCCAGCGATGACGGTGTGTTCATAACTTACTCTACGACAATCACCAACGTCCTTCAGATAGGTGAGACAAATTAGTCTGATTTGTTTTTCTATTTAGAAATTGCTGCTTGCACGAGTTTATAGACTAAACTGGGTTTATTTCTCTAAATAATAACAATAAAAAAACACAGGTAAGGATACCAAAATCCAGACAGGTGCCTATCGAGAGATGATCCAGCGCGGGGCCTGTGTTGAAGTGGACATGAAGAATGACGCAGAATATCTGATCATGGGGACAGATGACAGCATCTCCACATTGAAGGACAAGTAAGCTCTGGTTTGTTTACTTGAAACAGGATCCATGTGCTTCTCTAAATGGCCCATATCATACATTTCTGTCCCAATTGAGGTCCATTTATAAGGCTTGTGTGGGTTTATGTACCAAAACTAGTCATAATTCATTTTTACATGACCATTTTTCCAGCCTCCCTTTATCCCTTAAGGGGTGCGTATCATGGAAAACTGAATTTTCATCACTTTATTGAGATTAAAGGGTTTGAACATATCCATCTATTCAGCCTACAGCAGTTTAGTTATGCCTGCTTACTTATAGTGTTTCAGTTTCAGTCTTGACTGCTTTTTGAACAAGGCACAATAGAGCACAGCCAATCAGAGCAGAGCTCACGTACATATATCAGCCTTAAATGCACAGCAACAAACACAGCCTGTTTGATTCTGGAGAATAAAGAGATTTAATCTGACTGCTTTTGGTGCATAAACCCAAATAAAAACCTGATATGAGGCTCTCAGGGAAAAAAGTAGGATATGGGCCCTTTAAAAGCATTGTTTTTGTTACTGTGTCTGATATACTGTATGTAAATAAGCTATGTTCTGATTTGCTGCTCTGTATTGTGCCTCATTCAAAAAGCAGTTCAGGCTGCACTCCGTAGAACTCACACAAATGTGTGGCGCTGAGCTGCTGTGGGTTGGATATCCAGATATGTCTAAATGCATTGGTTTTTGTGACATCACAAAAAGAATGAATTTAAATTGACTTTTTTGCAGCCTATTTTCCATACATGTGGTACATTTTGGAATTCTCACGTTTACAGCTCCTTTTTGACTTGAAATTTAAAAAAAGTGAGAAAATGCTGTTTTTCCTCTTTAACCTCTTATTGACCAGGGTATATTTTGGTTTTTCCATCTGACATTACATGACCAAATCGTAAGGCAAATTATTCAGTAACTGCATTAAATAAATGTAAATTTTTATTTTATTTATTTTTTGTAAAAGCTCCCCTCAAATTAACAGAACATGTTTTATGATCATACACATATTGTTATACGCTTACAATTTACTGCTGAAAGCCAAAAATCTTAGATGCTCTTTGTAATTTTTAAAAAAAATATTTTTTCAGAGCAGATCACTGAAGAGATGCCATTTGTTTATAGTTTATAGCCCAGATTTGTGGAAAAATGGGTCGACTTTCACTAGACAAAAAATTGTGAGTTCAGCTTCTTTTATTATAAGGGTTTAAAATTACATCACCCATCTATTTGACTGGAAAGAAGACAGTTACAGCTCTCATACGACCCCCACCTTTTGAATGTAGCTTATGAAATATTAAAGTTATGAAGAATGTGATGAAGTGCGTTTTGGAACCACCGGTGGTCCCAAGGTGTTGAAAAGGTTAAAGAGTTTGCTGATTTTGCTCAAAGTCTGCATGGCGCTCTGAGCTCAGCATATTTCTGCACACGTTTGAGTTAAAGTCACCCATGTGTTTTTCAGATTTAAGTACATCTTGAACAATAAGATGTGGATCGAAGAGGTGCCACCGGAAAAGAAATGCAAGGCATCCAGAAACAGGCTTGCTTGTCAACATCTGAAGGACTTCATGGACCAACACCTTGTAAACCAGTGCCAGTATTAGTATTAGTCACACAGAAGGAGAGGATGGCCTGGAGAAAGCATCTGGAGGACTACACTTAGCAGAGTAAATCGTGTGCTTTTATTTTCAGTGCATCTGACAAAGAAAGAAAAGCAATTTGTGGAACAGCACAGTTTAAAGTTCAGCAGAAGCATGTCGTAGCGTTGACCTTCTCACGAAGAGTCCATGTTTGGCAATGCTGCGTTTAAGCATGACTTTTGTTACGTAAAAGGTACTCTTGAGACCATACCTTCTGGAATGCACACTTATGAGATATTAGTCCTTGACATTGAGTCATGTAGCATGTAGCATTACCTAACAAAGATTATGCCTTTCAGACAGTGATATTTGGATCAGTGATCAATGTGAGATTAACCACTGAGTCCCTGCCTTGCTTTGCCTGAAGCATTTAAAGTTCATGTTACGAGACGACTGGTCTTAAAAAGCGAACCTGAAACTGTTGAAACTCAAACTGAATACTGACTGAAATGTCACTGAAATGTCTGCCTTTATATGCCAAATATGTAGCCTGAGTAAGGAGGATGTTATCTCAAATAAAGAACACTAAAGAATGGATTGCTTCACTGATACTTCCTGTTGAATATAGCTTCTAGTAGGGAACAGTGGTTTTAATGGCTTTCTACTGAGTTATACTAGGCTTAAGTCAAGTAGACTTAGAAAATAAGCAATGCATACTAGTCCAGATGGGTAGAAGCTGGATTTGGAGATAAGCTATCAAACGTTAGGAGTAGAACTATTTACACTTCTAGTAACCTTCTTTGTGGATCAAACTATCAGCAGATTCTTGGCACAAATCTTTGTGAGTTTTAGCTTCCTAAAGGAAAGGTTCAAACTGACACAGTCTTCCACTTACCCCAGTTGTAATTGATCAGCCGAGACTTGTTTAGTGTCCAAATTTTGTTTCTTTAGTTTAGCGCTTGGGCTACGAGGCCAACACTGATAAACATTAGAATTCAATAAATCTATTCTCAAAACTCCTCTCAACCACATCCAGGTTAATCCACCTTCATTAAGGTAACACAGACTTGTCAAAGTGTGGTTTATAAACAATATAAACAAAACCTCAAACTCAGACTAAACACCAAGCTAAACCACAGCCAATGAAGACAGAGCCGTAGTAAGGTTGACCAATTACTGTCACTCTTCCTCATTAGCATGCAGGTGAAAACTGTAAATAAACAATACAAAACGTGTTCAGTGCCTGTGTTCTTAATTATACATTGTACATAGTTGTAAACATTGCCATATACATTGCTGACCTGTACTGTAGGCAGAGGTTACCATGGCTGCTAATATATCTATTAGCTTATACACAACTGTAAACAAACCAATCTTTCTCTTTTCTTAACTAAAGAAAGTTAAGAAGTGACGTTATCGTGCGTTTCGACCAGAAACCAATTTTATAAATAAACTTGTTAAACTAAAGATTAGTTATTTAGGTCCCTTTTTTCTTATTTAAGACAAGAAATAAGCAACAACAAATCGTTAAATACAAGAAAGAAAAATGAAAAATGAAAAGATTAACTAAATGCCTTAAGGGCATCGCATTCACTGTGTAGCTGAATGCAGCGGCCAGCCATTGTAGTCAAAAAATTTTTGTGCCACAGAATCCAACTTCCCTTCATGGTGAGGCGCGTCAAGCAGGCTAAATTAGATTCACGCTTTCTGTTGTTTCCATTATTAAAAGTCTATATCTTCATTTTGAAAATTAATGCATACTTCAAGGTTATTTAAAAAACAGAAATTGAGAATGTGATGTGATGCATGCATCTCACATTGGTGCTCCTAAACAAAAATTCTGGTCACATTTGTTTTAAAAAGAAGGAGCAAATGGCAGCATTTTGCTTGCACTGTAGAATCCTGCACTGTATGTCTTACTGTATATGATAGAAATGAACAAACCTGCACAGTAGAATCAACAGAATCAACAGCTGTTATATTAAGTTATCTTAACTGTGCAGTTTTGTTCATTTCTATCATGTACAATGACGTGTGTCACTGGCCCTACTGCTACTACATCTATAAAACATGGAGCATATCACAAGAAGCCTAGTCTCACAAGCTAGACATATCGGCAGAGATTCTGGTGCTTTTCACTGCAAAATGCGATGTGCAAAATGACCAATCACAGCCTGCTGTTTTGGCCTTTTGTGTAGGAGGAGGCAACTGTGAAAATGCCACAAATATATCCTGCCCTGAAAGGTTTATTCTTCATTACAATGTCCAGTGTGGGCAGCTGTTCTCTATCACTGACTAGGATTTAGCTAGAAAAACAAAACCTTGTTTCCTGACTATATGGTAAAAAAACACTGCACAGAAGTGCATATATACAGACGTGTGGAGAGCCAATCAGAATGCAACATCGATAGTTGTGGTTGGCAGTTCACTCGGTATCATCTGAAGCTGAGACTACAAGAAGCTAACCGACCTGAAAAATAACTAATCTGTATAACTGTCAGAGGAGGAGATCAGTTAAAAACTGCTGATTGACTGTTTGAGTCACCTCTTTTGCATTTGCTGTGGTCTCAAGACAGTGAACGTATATCCCACGGGTTAAAAAGTTTATCACAAGTTGTGCAGGAGCATCACAGAAGAAGCCGATACTGGGCTTGACTACTTATATGCAGCACAGCGCTATTAGGCAATACAGCAACTTTAAATAAAGCCTAGATTGTGCATTTTGCATGCAGGCATTAAACAGGTTACCAAAACACAGCTAAATGGCCTTCTTATACTACAGGAAAATCTGCCTAAGGAGCATTGAGAAGGTATGATTGGGGTAAATTTGTATAATTTGTAGATGTGCTGTAAATATTGTGGCATCAGGGCTGTTTATATTAAAAAACACCATTTCTATAACTTACTTACTTTACAGTAAGAACTGGCTATCCAGCAAACAGGCTTGCAGACCGAGAAAGACTTTAACTTTGTGTAAATTAAATATGATATAAAACACAGGAACCCAGATTATATAAATATACTACAAGATTATATAAATAAACTACAGGAAAATAACATAATCAATACCGAATTACTGCAAAGGACTTCTTAATGTTGTTTAGGCAATCTTCGACAATCTAGGAATAAATCTCATTACTGAATTAAACATCCTTTCTGACTGATAAGAGAAATGAAAAGAATGTATAAAAAAGTTCATATTAAGTTTGTGCTCACATATTTATTTCCAGTGCATCAGTGCTCCTTGGCAAAACGCTTACATAGACCAGTGGTCATCAACCTTCCTGCAGAGTTTACTTCCAACCTGCATTTAACATGCTGCTCTTCAACTATCTAACACTGATGCATCTAATCCAGCCTATCAAGAACCTCTGAAGAAGTTTATTAGCTGGATTGAGAATGGTTGGAACAAGACCATGCAGGATGACAGATATCCAGGACCAGGGTTGGTGATCACTGCTGTAGGCATTAATGAAGATCTAGATACGGTCTGAGTGGGTTGAGAGAAGTTCTGGGAATGTATTTACGGGAAAGATTTGGGTGACTATTGATTTCCAGTGTAGGCGACATTAGCCTAATAGGACACCGAGCATATCTACATTTGGGTAAGTGGAAAACTGTGTAAATTTGATTTCTCGCTGAGCCTTTAACATTTCCTTCTTAAAAGGCAAAGTTTCTGTACATGTTTTGAATCATTCACATTTTGGCAATGTGTTTACGTCCTACGCTGAAGCGTTTCATGCAAAAGCGTCTGCTGTATGTATGTCAAGGCATTGGTATTGATATTGCAGAAACATGGAAATTAGAAAAGATAACCCGTAAATCATAACATTGAATACAAAATTAAAATAAATTAACATTTTTTTTTCCCTCTTCAAAAAGAGCAGACAACATTCTAAATTTGTGCTGTTGTGGTGTGTGATATGGCTAACACCCTTGTCAGAAATATGCAGAGATTTTGAAGGCAAACGCACACTAAAACTATAAGCTGCTCTTCTTCTACATTTACAGCTAAGACCATGGGCATCCTAAGCTCAACCCTACTGAAGGAGTGAGGCTTTCCAAACTCATATTACAGCAAAAAAAAGCTATCAAATGTACATACGATATGATACAAATGCGTCAACATATACAGCGAGTCAATGCACAAATAGTCGGATCAGTTTGATACGAAATGGCTTGCTTTCACAGTACATTTATAAGATAGATCACTGATCGTTCGTGAAGTAAACTCCTAAGGAACTTTGCTTCCATGTCGTTGGAAAGGGTTTTTGTATTTCATTAAGATGATGGCTATACCAAGTGGCTTTTAGCTAAACCAAGACGTTCATAAAATACTTCATAAAGTACTTTAAAAGCTTAAAGAGTAGCTGCCCTCACAAGCACTGCTGAGAGTACTGTGACTATTATTACTCACTTGTGTTGGCGGTCTGCAGTCTGATTCGGATTTACGCAAAAATTCACAATCAATCCAAATCAGTGCAATAAAGAATACAGGATAAATGTTAAGCTCCGGTCCAATTAGCATCAATTCAGCTCAAATAAAATGGTTGGCTGTTAACGTCTCCCTAAAGGTTACTTCAGTGGCTGAGACCCTTCCGGTGTGCAAAATAAAACGGTAAATGCTAAAGGTCATTGCACCTGTACAATACATTTGCTGGGTCGTCCTTCTCTGGCAGTAGCGGCCCGTTCCTACTGCAGGTAGCGGTACACTTTGAAACAGTGGTTCCCAGAGTCCGCCACGGCTACGTGACCGTCGGAGGTGAGAGCCAGGCCTTGCGGGCCGTACAGCGGGTCCGCTGTCGTGTTGATGTACGACAGGAAGGATCCTGAACTGTCAAACACCTGCGGCAGAAATACAGTGTAGAGCATTGGTAGCATGTTTAGATATGTGGTCACTAAACTCAACACTGACTTAAATTTCTATTACACCATTACTAATACTGTTCTAAGCCCTATTGGAGCTGGATTAGTTTTACTTGGGAGCTGCTGTAATTTGAGTTCTTAGTGAAGAGATCTGTGATTTTAATCCAGAACTAATATGCGATGTCTCTTACAAGGTAGAGCGGTTTCTGTCCTGTTGGGTGACATTTGTCAGTGTAGCCCATTTTACTAGCCTAATGCTGTTCTGTCTGGTATTGAACTGGAAGTTGAACTAGAAGTTCGTCTTTGTTGTTTGTTTGTTTAAATCTGTTTAAGACATCTTAACACTGAAGTGAACATCCAAGCGATGATGTTTCCAGGCTATCTGAGGTCATTTTGGGAAACTGTATATATTCTTGATCCTGTATGAATCGGCCAATCAAATCCCTTACAAATAGCGTTAGCAGACCTCCTCTCGTAAAAATAAACCAGCTCAAATAGAGCTTAAATCCTGCATTTACGCATGCAGTCTAAAGGCTGAAATAACACAAGCATGGGCACTAGGGGGCAGTGTTCAAACCAGAATGTACAGAAAAAATAATACCCCATATTTACTCTCTCTCCTCAATAACAGTTTGTAATATTTTGAAGATGGGTCATGTAAATGTTTGTAATAGTGCATCTCAAACGGCTCTCTTTGCTGTTTTAGGTCAAGTACTGTTTGGATCTCATCCTAGATGATTAAAAAATAAACTCTCTATTTTTGGGGTTTTTTTTTCAAATTTGTACATTTCATCTAGGAAAAATGCATTTACTTATTCAAACAGTGTGTTAACTCATCTCAGGAGCAATATCTATATTTTTATAGGGTTCTTCGTCGACAATGGCTTAAACGAGTAACAGCGTTGAAGGTAACTGCACTGGATGTGGTTCAAATGTGGTTAACTAGCGTCCATTAAGGATGTACTAATGATGTATTTCATTTTAATTTAATTTTATTTCATTTTACTCATATTTTGTAATTAATAATTCACTTTCATTCCATGATTTAGGTAAACTTGATTGTACTTCCAAAGTGACCTCATCAGCCAATATATAAATAATATATAATAATCATAATAATAAAAAAATAAAAACAAAAAGAATGTGAGGACTTATTTCTCTTCCCATTATCTTCAGGGAATTCAGATAAATATAAATTTCCATTGATTATGTCACTAATGGAGTATTCCAGATATTTCATAGTGGTGAATGTGTTCAGCTAACATAACCTTTAATAGAGGACTCCTAAAAAAAAGACTGTTTCAAGCATGAGATGTTACACAGATTCGCACAATACTGCAAAAATAATCTGATTCTGGAAGTATTTTGAACATTATATTGCAAAGTGTAGCCATGATGGGCTGGGACAGGAACAAATACTGCTTTCTAAGTGCTGTTTAGGTTTCATTCATCTGAAACAAGCATATAAATGTCTTTTAGCTTTACATACATATTTGTAAATGTACTAACAGTGGGATATAAATGGAGCCCCCTTTTGTGGAATCACTCTTCCACCCCAAACGCATCAGGAGCCAGTCAAGGTTTGCTTGACACATGGACTCACACAATGCACAGTTTTCTTCTCTGCGTTTTCCGTTCCACCTTAAATAGTACAGCAGTTAGCAGGCACCTGTACAGGTTCCAGAATGAAACTGTGGCTCCATTTAAGGTGGAACAAAAATTAGAATAAGAAACAGGCGAATAGGAAGTCAACTTCAGCTTTGTGTGACCGCAGTGGTAAGTGTGTTTATGAATAACACAAGTAGGAATTCAGGTAGCCGGCCAGGAAAGGTTTGGCCAAACTTATATATGAAGTTTGTCGGTTTTGCAAACTCTCAAACTGCATCATCATGATTTTAGTATCACACTACACTGCTTCTATAATATGGATGTTTCGTTATGACATATATTTATAAATATTCCGTAAGAGCAGCCTGCTTAATCTTTCACATCACTGCTGTCGGAACAAAATGACAACTTTACAGGAGAAAGAACAACATACTTTATTTTTAATGTAAGTCAATGGAACCAGACTTTTTACCAAGTCATTTTGGGTAATTTCTTTTGGTCCATTCGTCATGAAACTTATGCAAAATGTTAAGGTCAACAGGCATTTTCAAATGATGTCAAAAACTGAAAAACGGCAAAAAATGGAGACACGAGGTTTTGGTCAGACGGCAGTGATATGTTAAGTTCAAAAAATGTAAAGCTAGGTGTGATAACATTTACTGAGTAATCTATTTACTGTAGATGGTTAAACTATACAAAGTCAATCTTCTGGCAATTTTTGCTTTATTCATAGAGCCACCAGTTCACGTAAATAAAGTGTACCTGTATCCTACTGTTACCCCAGTCTGCAACAATGATGTTTCCATTGGTGTCCACTGCCACCCCCGTGGGAGCATTGAACTGGCCGTTCCCTTCCCCATGAGAACCGAATTTAAACAGGAACTCCCCATCTGCATTATAGACCTGAGCAGAGGAATGAGATCCACATTAGCTGACAGCAAACAGATGTGCTTCCATGCAGAGAAAGAACATAAATATGTTAGCCACTGTATGCTGTCTTTTAAAGAGGGACAGGCCTACTTATCATTAGATATGACACAGAATAATATGACATTATAACCATGGGAGAAATAAATGAAAATACGTTGTTTTCCATCTCACTGCACAATGCTAATACCCGAAGACATGTGAAACAGCTGAAGCAATAGGCAGAGACAGCCATAGCATACCTTAACAGAATGATTGTGGAAATCTGTCACAATGATTTCATTCTTGTTGTTCACGGCTACAAAATGGGGACCTACATATGACAGTAGAGAGGCAAGAGGAGAAGATAGAAACAGAGAGAAAGAGTGAGATTTTGTTTGGAAATTGTACATCACTTTTTATTATATGGTTCAAACCGAAACTGTGTGGTTCGCATATGAATTTCTTTTAGAGCCCATTTTCAAGACATGGATTAAGCCTAGTCTTGGACTAAATTTATAACTCAACAGTGATTCACCTTCAGAAAGTTTGGTAGCACTTTATTTGGAGTGGTCCTTTGTAGGTGATTAATAAACTCTTAAAAGATTATCAGTAACACATCAATAACACATCAGTGAAGTAGCAGTAATGAAGCATCTGAATACACTGAAGTAAATATCTTGTAGATGTTCTGTTGATACATTACTTACATTAAGTAGATGTGTTATTAATATGTTACTTCCATTAAGCAAAACCTAACCTTACCCAACCTTACTCAACACCTAACCCTAACCGTGGCCCTAATCCTAACCCTAACCTTAAACTCAACCCAGAACCTAATCCTAAACCTCATATGTTTTTGACATGTTACTGAGAGTCCACTGAGTGTTTGTTTCATCTAAAAGGGCCACTCAAAGTAAAGTCTAGGCTTAAACTTAATCTGGAAACCAGCCTCTTCTTTTAGCTGTTTAATTTTATGACGAGTTGTTCTTTCTCTGAGATATTTTAAGGCTACTTACTGAAGACAGGGCCGGATTTACTGAGTTTCGGCTCCGTTGGAGTGTTTGGAGCACTTTTGTCTAGGATGAACAGAAAGAAGAGAGTTAGTGCATCATCATTTTTTATAGGCCTGAATTTATATGCCTGTACTGCATGTAGATACTCTGTAGATACTGGCAGAGTTGGGCTGCAATTATACTTTTTGAATCACTGTATTATATAAATGATACATAAATTATATGATAATAATATTGTATTATAAATAGATGCAACACTTGAATGGCAGTTGAATAGCATGCTAATCGCACCTTATCATAGTTATGAGAATGAATTTCAGTTATGAAATGAGAATCACAATAAGGCTGTAGCAGCAACACTACAGAATGATTTATCAAGAACAGATACAGAAGCCTCTTCCATCCACAGTCTGGCATTACATGGACCATTGGGGCAGTCATGGGCTGGAGGTTAGGGAACCAGCCCTGTGACCGGAAGGTCGCCAGTTTGATCCTCTGAGCCGAGAGTATGTGACTGAGGTGCCCCTGAGCAAGGCACCTAACTCCCAACTGCTCCCCCGGCACTGTGGATAGGGCTGCCCACCGCTCCCTAGTGTGTGTGCTTTCACTAGTGTGTATGTGGTGTTTCACTGCACGGATGGGTCAAATGCAGAGGTACTGTGTATATATATATATATTATTCATGCCTTAGATATTTACAAGGATTATGTTATGATCTATTTAAACCCAAGGCATTAATGGACAAAGTCTGGAAATCAGTGTGTAACATTAAGAATTGTCACCACCGAAACACATATTTTCTGCACTTAAGTAATCTTTTTAGTGTTTTAATGGAAATATTATGATTTAATGTGTGTACAACTGTTCAAAGCTGTGCATGATACTCATATACTGGCTAGCATTGCTGTGTTATGCTCAAAATTAATGCTGATCATTTCAGAGCATTCAGCATACAGAGAAAAGTGAAGCACCTGAAAACTGCCTGTCCGATGTTCCCTTTGCTCCAAATTTGGTCACCAGTTTGCCGTTGGACTGGAAGATGAAGACGCAGCAGGCTTTGTTGTCTGCAGCTATGATGTGGCCATTTTTATCCACAGCTACTCCTTTAGGTCCCATCAGCCGCCCCGCTCCAATCTTATTCTAAAACACAAGCAAAGGACAGTTAAACAGCAAACAAAGGACGAGTGAGAGGGCACTCAGAGTATCAACAGCTGAACCTACGTTTTGGCAAACACCTATTATATTAAGCTTTTGTGTTATTTTACATACATATAACTATAACAATATAGACACCAAGTGCATTTTTAGACATTTTATTCAATATCTCAAGGATTCTGAGTTATTATATGTATTATATGTAGATGTGATCACCATTTTATGAGGTATTCTGGGTGTTATATAACACAATCCTCAAAGTTATACATCTTTCCCAGTTCACATGGAATGTTCTACAGCTCTGTTCATCAGTCTGAACACATCTAACTTTTCCTCATGGTAAAACCGATGAACTTTAACAGAACTAGCCTACCAATAACATAATTATATAACATAATTTAATATATTTCATATAATTTAACACATTTATCTGGAATCAGGCTCATTTTATATTATTTTTTGAACAGTGAAACTTTTGAATGGTATAAAATATTTGAATGGTATAGTATTTTCTATAATATTTCTACTTTGGTATTTTATTTTTAAAATAATTGAATTCTTCTATTCGGACTTAATTACTTTCCAAAATAAATATACAACACAAATTGGAACAAAATTTGTGGATGAATGGATGAATGAACGAATTAATGGACAGACATATAATATTAATTTTTTAAGGCTCTAAAAAAGCAACATAATTACAATCACTCACTTTAAATTTGCCATCAGAGGAGAAGATAGTGATCCATCTGTTGTCATAGTCAGCCACAATAATATCTCCGTTCATGTCCACTGTGACGCCAGTGGGGCGCTGCAGCTGCCCTGGAGAACGACCTCTCACTCCAAACCTCATCTTAAACTGACCGTCATTAGAAAATACCTGCCAAATGTCCACAACCACAAATTTAAGACCAATGACAAGCAGACATTCAAACACTGCACTTTAAATGTGCACCTGCTGTATGTAGTGTAATATGAGCATTACTGAATTGCACCTGTATGCACTGGTTATTACTGTCAGCCACCACTATGCGTCCGTTGCTGGAGGTGGAGATGCCCTGCAGGTTGGAGAATTCTCCTCGCTCTCGCCCCCTCGTCCCTGTGACACACAGATAACACACACACACACACACACACACACACACACACACACACACACACACACACACACACACACAGAGTGAGGCAAAGCAAATTTAGCTATAGTTACATTATGCAAGGGCTAACAATGATATTGCAGAACAAAATTTATAGCTAATCCATGAAATGTTTTGCTTAAAGTGACAGTTCAGCAAAAAATCAAATTTCCATAACTTTCCACTAATCCACAAGTAGTCAATCAGCCAAGGCATGTTTGGTGTTGGAAACTTGCTTCTTAAGTTTTGCACCATGAGCTATGAGCTAGAGGTCTCCACTCCCGTGGATTCCCGCAGGACCTGTGAGACCCGCCACAATATTTTGTGGCGTGGGACTAGTGTGTTGCATGCTGGTGCAGGCGGGAAACCAGCCTACTGCAGACAGGAGCGGGACAAAGCACACAAGAAGAGAAATCCCATATATATATGTTTGTCAATAAAATGGCTAAATTTGCACTGTAGACATGTGACCCCTGGTTCCTATCACCACCACTGTGAAGATATCCGAGCTAGTAAGTGTCTCTACAATTTCACATTAAAAAAAAACACTGAATGACTGTTTGCATCTCACCAATTCAATTATACTGAAACCTTCAGCACTTTCAATTTATAAGTAGTCTCTAATCGACTAGCTTATGTGGTTTCTGACACTGTATGACATGCTGTTAGCTCTAAAAAAATGGGTGAAAAGTATGTTGCACAGCTAAAATAGTAGTAGCAGACATACTGAAGCCTGAAATTTGAGAACAGTATGTCAAACAGTGTTAGAAACAATGTGACATGTTGGATTGCACTTGATGATTCAGGCATGTATAAGCTTCCTTTATTTGTTAGCTACATTAGGCTCATACTCCAGCAAATTTTATATTATACAAAATGTTAATAGAGCAAGTGATTCCAAACATATCCAAACAGTAGTTAAATGGAACAGGTAAACAGTTTTTTTTTTCCAGCAGCTGCACCACAGGAAGCTGTGAGAAACACTAATGTACCGCTCTTTGGTCTTTGTTCACACGCACCCACTCTGTAGATGAGCTCGTCCTCTATGGGGTTTTCCTTCTTCTTGGTAGTGCTGTACATGCTGGAGGGCCTCCGCACTGCTTTCTGCCGGACATGTCCCCCACCTCCCCCTCCGCCGGGGGACTTTACACGCCTCTTCACGTCGTCCGGGGACTGCGGGGCATCGCAGGGTTTAACGGCCCGAAGGCGGAAAGGGCTGCCGCGTACAGGCTGGCCGTACAGCAGCAGAGAGAAGGAGAACTCCCCTTCACTCCACAGCGTGTAGCCCACATCATACGTGCCGTTCTTATTGTCTGTCACCTCAGCATTAGTGACAGAGCCAGCTGGGCCGGTGATCTGAGCCTTTAGAGCTGCGTTCCCAGTCTTTACCAGCTCACCAGCCTTATCCTGTTAGAAAAACAAACCAAAAAAAAAAAATCAAATGTGACATACCCATTTTCATTTGTGCAACATAAAGCATATTTCTGCTGATTCTTAAGGCAATGTCAATAATTCTGTAAATCAGGTCTGGAAGATATTTTAGATGGACCTGGCCTGTAATTAAGCAACAAATGGAGTAACAAACCACATAACACACAAAGTGACAAACTGCCTAACTAACAAAGTGACAAACCGCCTAACTAACAAAGTGACAAACCGCATAACACACAAAGTGACAAACCGCCTAACTAACAAAGTGACAAACCGCCTAACTAACAAAGTGACAAACCGCTTAACACATAAAGTGACAAACCGCCTAACTAAGTGACAAACCACGTAAGACACAAAGTGACAAACCGCCTAACTAACAAAGTGACAAACCGCCTAACTAACAAAGTGACAAACCGCCTAACTAACTAGTGACAAACCCGCCTAACTAACAAAGTGACAAACTGCATAACACACAGTGACAAACCGCCTAACTAACAAAGTGACAAACCGCCTAACTAACAAAGTGACAAACTGCATAACACACAGTGACAAACCGCCTAACTAACAAAGTGACAAACCGCCTAACTAACAAAGTGACAAACCGCCTAACTAACAAAGTGACAAACTGCATAACACACAAAGTGACAAACCGCGTAAGACACAAAGTGACTAAGCATGTAACACATTAAAGTGACAAACCACTCACTCACTCACTCACTCACTCACTCACTCACTCACTCACTCAGCTAAAGGCTGCTATTAGCACTCCAGTAGCTTTTAACGCTTTATAAAAGTTTCAGTTCGCATTTTCAAACATATTCCAAACATGACAATAAGCATTTTATGACGCTACCTTGCTAACGATAGCACTGGGTGCTATTAAGAATGACTCCAAAGTTATTTCCAAACAACAATATTCCCTAAGCAAAGCAGGTAACTAGATGTGAAATTACCATAAAGAGATAATTATAGTATATTAATAATTACAGTCAGTTAAATCCTGTATAATTCTTCTACATAATTCTAAAAATATAGTAATATTGCAATATTCCAAATTTTTACACGGTCGTGTACAGAGCAGTTCTGGATCTAATTTCCACCCTGACCCAACTGCAGTCGAAATTAGCAGTGTGACCCACCTTGGTGGTGACAGTGACAGTAGTGGACTGTCCCACCACAGCATGCCGGAGCCCCTCTCCTGTAGCCACGCTAGTGTGTCCCACAGCACTGGTGGTCAGGAGGACCCCCAGGTTCTGGATGGAGCGCCGCAGCCCCTCCGTCTCCACTTGGCACTGCAGGTGGCCGTTCTCGTGCGGCTGCTCTGGGAACGCGTGACGCTCTAGTGCCCCCATCCGCTCGCCCATCTGCTTCTGCACCAGTAGCACCTCGGTGGCGCTGCCGTGGTTCAGAGCCTGCTCAGTGAAACTGCAGCTGCTCAGGATGTTCTCCTTCCCCTGCAGCAGAGCAGCCAGCTGAGCCTGCAGCACCTACACACAGCAGATAACATACAACGGCAGAGTTATACACTCAGCTGGAGAACTCCCTGAGAAGCTGCTTTGTGATAATATCCATCGAATTAGGGCTGGGCGATTTGCATCGCAATACTTCAAGGCATTTTCATGATACATAATATGCATCAAGAAATTTCATTTTTCTGAGATTTAATGAGTTGAAACACAAAACAGAACCTGTAGTGTCACATATAAAAATACTACTACAATATTACAATAAATCTACAACTACAGTGATTTCTATTGGATGTTTTACAAACTGTACTGCAATAAATCCAATTAAACAGGACTAAATAAGGTCACTCAGCAACGAAATATACAGTTGCTCAGTATGCTTCACATAATGATGATATCCACGAGGTGCTCAGAAAAGCGTATGGTGACATAATTTATCACGATAATGATATCATCACACTGCCCACCCCTACACTGAACTGTCTGCTTAATGCACTTCTCTGCTGTTTCGACTCGAGATTTACAAGATACAAGTATGCAATATCTACAAAGCCATATCTGAAGCCAAGTGGTTTAGCACATTAGAAATAAATTGGTGTCTACCATTTTTAAGCTCAGTAAATCCAGTGATTTAACTCTGCCCATCAAAAGTTTTTTTTACTGTCATTTTCAATGTGGTGAGAAAAAAGGCCTGATAAGGTTTTATTAGTGTAAAACAGCCATGTGCTGTTACTCTGGGAATATTTAGCTTCATCACTCAGCTTCATTTTCATCAAAGTGTGTCTTCCTTGGTATGAAAAGAAAGTATTGCCTAATTAATAATTTGACAGTTTTCTTCTCCAGCCTGTTGTTAAAAGCACATATTGCTGCTGTCAGAAGAAAACCTTGTATCTCCTTTTTTGTCGTTTTGTACTTTTTTACAGAAATGCCAGCTGACCTTCACAATGTGCCAAAATTTCATGATGAACGGACCACCAGAAATGCTCCAAAAGTGCTTGGAAAAAATCTAGTTCCATTAACTTCCATTCAAAACTAAGAATGTTTTTTTTTCCTTCTGCTGTAAAGTTAACATTGTGGAGATACAAGGTTTCCTTCCGACAGCAGCGATGTAGCGCTTTTGGTGCAGATGTAAACACTTGAGTAGTTTGAGTGCTGATGCTTGGATATGTAACTGTTACTGTTAATGTAGGTTGAAACGATACACATATTTAAGGTTTGATTTGATACTGATTCTCAGGTCAGGATTTAATTCCATTCTCGCTATTTTTTGTGTTAAAATGTCTTGATTCTCATTGTCTTGATAGACTCATTCTAGTTTTAATCACTGGCAGTGGTTTTCATAAAAGACGTAAACAACAGCAACAACAACAAAAAAAGTTAATTTGTATTTGAACATTTTTAATAGGCAGCTTACATTGCTCATAAGCAACTACTGGAATAATCAGCAATCTGCTGTTATTTATTACAGTACAATTGGATTTATTCTGACGTTCCCAAAAATAATTCAAAGACATACATAACTGATGATATCTTGCACATCTCATGATATTTTTGGACAGCAAAAATAATTTTATCTTTTTTGTGAATTTGTGCAGGTGACATGAACTCACTCAGCCTATCACTGTTGTCTTTGGCTTTGGCATGGTGATAACCAGGATGACTGATCACCTCAGTGTCACAGCAGCTAGATCTTTTAACAAACCCTGAAAGAATTAGTTTATCCTCTGCTTCATTGCACGTAGAGCTGCTTCTCCAAAAGAGGCTCAAACTGGGCTACAGGCATCCGAGCAACATATGAAAACAACGTATGAGTTCCAGCTCCTGAACGAAGCTATGAAGCTCTGAAGCTCTATGTGTTCCTCATCCAAAATAGAAATAGCACTGTTTGCCTGTTCATCTTAGTTTGACTCATCAATGATCTGCTACCTTTTATAATGTTATAATATTTTACATAACCATATTCAATAGATCCTAATGGACAGGAACTGGTCCCAGATCAGTGGCTCACCCTGGTTCATCTGATCCCTATAAAACCCATTTCTCATACCTTCTGCTTTGTGCTGCAGATGTTCTCCAGGTCAGTGATGAGAGTGTTCTTGCGCTGGTGCAGCGCTCGCTCCAGCTCCTCGAAGGTGCTGCTGATTTCAGAGATGGCGTCATTCTTCCTTTCAGAGAGCTGCCTGGATATATCCTTCACCAAGTCGATGGCTGCCGTCAGCTGAGGAAGCCTGGAGGAGGAGGAAGAAGAGGAAGAAAGGAATGAAAGAAGGGGGTGAGTACCAACTTCTGATTTAATACTACAGTTAAGAGGCCATGGAGATTTGTTTCCTAGACACCGGTGGGCGTGCAATCAAGACTGATTGTTTTTCTTCGTGGTGTTGCAATAATGTTAGGTGGAAGATTATTATGGTTATTGCAGAGTGGATAATTAGCGTTGTAATTGCATGTCTTATGAGCATATTTTTTATTGGTTTTTAACATTGTGGTCACACTGGGTATCACAGCAGGTCTCAAATCAGACATTACAGACCTACATGTCTATGCTCGGATGGCTTTTTGCTCTCTGTATATTATTACATTAAAGCTCAGGAATAGCAATAAAGCACAGACTGAAATTATGCATATGTTAACTGCAAAACTGCATCTCGAGGGCTGGGTGTAGGAAACCTTTCATGCCAGATACATATACACCAGCCGGCCACTTTATTAAGTACACCTCCCTGTTTCTACACTCATTGTTCATTCTATCAGCTCCACTTACCATATAGGAGCACTTTGTAGTTCTACAATTACAGACTGTAGTCCATCTGTTTCTCTGCTAGTTTGTTAGCCCGCTTTCACCCTGTTCTTCAATGGTCAGGACCCCCACAGGACCACCACAGAGCACGTATTATTTAGGTGGTGGATCATTCTCAGCACTGCAGTAACACTGATGGAGTGGTGGTGTGTTAGTGTGTGTTGTGCTGGTGTGAGTGGATCAGACACAGCAGTGCTGCTGGAGTTTTTGGACACCTCAGTGTCACTGCTGGACTGAGAATAGTCCACCAACCAAAAATATCCAGCCAACAGCGTCCTGTGGGCAGCATCTTGTGACCACTGATGAAGGACTAGAGGATGACCAACACAAACTGTGTAGCAACAGATGAGCTATCGTCTAGGTGGACCAACAGGTACACACTTAAAAAGATGGTTCTTCAAGGGTTCTTTAGTAAAGAAAATGGTTCTATATAGAACTATGAACACTCAAAGATCCCTTTGCATGGTTCTTCAGCTTGATGGAGAATGTGCTGTAGATGGATCTATACAGAACATTTTTTGAAAACGGTTCTATATAGCACCCAAAAGGGTTCTTCTATTGTTACAATGTCCAGCTTGTAACAATAGAAGAACCCTTTTGGGTGTTATATAGACCTATAGAACATTCATGCACATTTTCCATCAATCTGAAGAACACTTTAATCATGCAAAGGGTTCTTTGAGTGTTTATTTTCTTTACTAAAGATCTTTTGAAGAACCATGTTTTTTTTTAAGAGTGTACGAGTGTCTAATAGAGTGGACAGTGAGTGGACACAGTGTTTAAAAACTCCAGCAACACTGCTGTGTGAGAGATTGATGTATAGTTTACTACTGCTAAATGTTTAAACTGCTAAAAAGGTACCGTTTACTCTGCAGGCCATACAGTCCATACGTGGACATCATACTGCTGCTGCAAAAACAGCCCATTTTTAATTCACTGCTTTTGTGATGACACAAAAACCTCTCATTTCTATAAATGACCTTTCAGCAGTTTAGCCCCACCCATTCACACTGAAGTTATAATGAGTGTTTCAGCCTGGACTGCTTTTTAAAAGAGCTCCAGCCTTGAATACGTACTGAAAAAAATATTTACCAACAGAACAACATTATTTCAGCTTTCAGTATCAGACATTTGTGAGAATACATGGCACAAAATGTTCTGTGATGTGGCCACAATATGCATTCGTATCCTGCTATGGTCTCACTAATTCCCTTTTTTAGCTGGAGTAGAATTACACCCCTGTTCGTGCCCTTTCAGGATCACTGGGCTTACCTGCTCGCAAAACTGAAAACAAAACTGAATGTTAATTTCAGACACATCGTGAGCGCACATTGCGGTCAGATCCAGGTGCATTTTGTGCTGCACCCGTGCTTCTAAGCATTGTGAATGCTCTGACCTTGTGCGAATGGCGTCCAGTTGGTTCTTGAGAGCTGCTTTGTGCTGCTCTAGAACATCCTTCAAAGGAACGGTCACATGCTCCCGGTGTTCTCCCTCTGTGCACTCCAAACACATTGCCGTTTCACATGACTCGCAGTAAAACTCCATAACCTGCAGAGGGCGCAAAGGAGAACCATTAGAGAATGAACAACACAGAGCAAACAATACAAATTCACTGTACCATTACAAACACTGTGAAGTACAGACTACTGTTCAACTTCACTGTTCAAAAATCACTGTTCAAAAGTTTGGTGTTGACTTATTAAGTGAAAATAAGTTAACATAATAAATGAATTTTATATAATAATAATAATAATAATAATAATAATAAATCAATGTAGCAACACTGTAAAAAATGGCACATTTCATATTTTATGTTTTATTTTTCAATATGTTAAAATCAGCAAATAAGTGGAATTTGGAGAAAAAAAAACATATTTAAGTTTATTCCCTGTATAGAATGTGCTAAATCATTGAGGAATGTTCAAATATCTGCATAAATAACTGTTTAAATTGTATTAAAATATCTAAAATGATCATTATATGTTTCTAGTATAGTAATACAAAATATGTAAATACATGTATAATGCTGTACTACCTTTATAAGTTATTATTGACTAAAATATAAATTTTATTTTTGCAAAAGTCCACTACATTTCTGAAAGCTGTCTGAAAAGTCCAGGTGTGTTGGCTGACCTTGCCCTCGTGGTTGGGGCAAGAGAGGGGCTGGGCGGAGGTGGCAGCGCTGGCCGACTCCAGCACGTTACAGGCTTCGGGCTGAGAGCACTCCGACTCCCTCTGCAGCACCTCCATCAGATTAGTAATGAAGAAGTTATTCTGCAGTGCTGCTACACCCTTCTCAGGCAGGATGGACGTTTGCCGGCACACCGGGCAGGACAGGGTCAGAGACTGAGGGGGGATGTAGTTCTGGAGGCATCTGCAAAAAAAAAAAAAAAGGGATGGATGAGAAGCTGTTATTTTCTGTTGATTTTCTGTTGATTTTCTGTTGATTTTCTAAATTTTCTGCATGATTAAATTGTTAAGGTGTAAACAAAGTCAGAGTGGGTTTTTTTGTGAAATGCTTCATTTTAGAGGAACTTACTGAGTCAGAACTGTTTAGAGGAGTGGTGAGAGGAATCAGAAGTCCAAAGAGTTGAACATGTCTGAAAGCTCCCTCACAGACAGTTATTGTGGTATAACTTTAACTGCATGAAATGGTTACAAATACATTACCTGATACCTGAGAAACTATTTTGCAATAGTTTTTGACAGGCTTTTGGCTTAAAATGCATTTTTAAAGTCAATTTATGGCAGACAGGGACATGCAAGGCAAAATAGTCCCCAGAGAAAAAAGTATTGTTGCTGGCTTTCCACTGTTTGATCATTATTAACATTATACTCAGCAGACACATGTAGGTTCACTGGCAATTTAGAATAGCAAAAAAAAAAAAGCTATATTTGCATTGCAGGCATCGCAACGCCTGGTTCCTATCACCACCACTGTAAAGAAATCAGGGTTTGTAAGTTTCTCTACACACACACACACACACATACACACACACATATACACACATACACACACATATATATATATATATATATATATATATATATATATATATATATATATATATATATATATATATATATATGTGTGTGTAAAATATAGTGTATTGAAACGAGTGCAGAAAGTGTACACTCAATTTTCAACTGATAACAAATTTAATTTCTGTAAATATTTTGTTTGCACTTGATAAAAAGTTTGCAAAAGGAAAAAAACTCTGCTATTTGCCGAAAAATCGGAAATGTAGGCTCAAACCTGCCGATACAGCTTGTGAATTAAAATAAATGTGAATATGTAACTCCTGTATGAAATTCATTATATAATTAAGGCATTACATTTACACGATTAAGTAACATAATAGTAATGTAAAGCATAATGATAATAACTCCATTTCCAGAGGTTGACAATAAACATTTTCATTCTGTTTAAGATGGACTGGAGATTCATGAATGACACTCAACTCAAATAGACTGTTAAGCCTAATACTGCAGGTCCATATGGCCACACTGATAAACAGACATAACAAAAACTGTATTTGGGTGTTGCAAATTCTGACAGCAGGATAACTGTGAGCCATGGGCCGATGACTAACACAGGATTCCTAGGATAGGGTGATATTCTAGCAGAGTAAAAGCAAAGACTAACCCTGTAACAGCTCACTTACAGTGGGTGGTTTTGAACATGATGTCATAACACAGCAATGCTCAGACTAAATCCACTGTCTGGAGCAAAGCCCTCTCACTAGGCTGGACCACTTCTGCTTTGAAAGAGGCTCTAGGCCTCAAGCTTGCCAGCACTGGTAAAAGCTGCATTTTGGCATTAGGAAAAGCTCCACGTGAATACAATATTTCACTGCATTACTCACACTCTGCCCTTTCTGATAAGGTCAGAGTCAGGGTTGGGCAATACCACTGACACCCCTCTGACACCAAGTAAGGCTAATATCCCAAAACCAACACCAGTGCAGTACTTTAAAAAGGGAAAATGCATCATTTCTAGAGTAGAGATTGGTCATGTGGATTTTAAAGGGCCCATATATTACAGTTGTCTTGTATTTGTTGTCCCTTGAGGTCCACTTATAATGTTTGCACCAAAAACAATCATATTTCATATAAATATTACCAGATCAATCTTTACTATATAGAAATAAACTGTCTGTTTTTGTCACTGTGCCTGTAAGACTGTATGTAAATTAACTATGTTCTGATTGGCTAGACTGTACTGTTCCTTATTCTGGGCTAAAACTGTTCTTACTCTAAAATTAGCATGAATCAGCATGGCGTAGATTAAATAGGTGGATATGTAAATGTGGTGTTTTTTGTGACATCACAAAAGCAATTAATAAAATATGGGCTCTTTTTGCTGCTTAATTTCCCTATATGGACTGTAGAGTGAAAGGTTTAGCCTTGTCATGTTTAGATACTTCATCAAATTCTTGCCCTTTAAAATAGTTTTATTACTACTACCCATTTTAGGACTAATATATATATATATATATATATGAACGAAACAATGAAATAACTCTAAAGGATTACTATCATTCATTCGTTCAGCCATTAACACTGCATAAGAAAAGTACTTCCAGCCTATAAAATGATGGCTTCAGTGATTTTTGCATTTCTTTTATTTGTGCATTAAATACACATTTTTGCTTCAAAGTAAATAAAATATTTTTAAAAAATGATCAGTATAGAAATATTCATGTATGGATTTATTCTGAAAAAGATAAAGAAACGTCAGGATCAGTCTTCTCGATGCTGTACCTTTCACAGAAGGTGTGCAGGCAGGGTAGGACTTTAGGGTTGTGGTAGTGCTCCAGACAGATGCTGCAGACCAGAAACTGCTTGTCTATTTGTCGCACCACTGGACTTGTGCTGCCGGTCTCCCTCTTAGCCATGGTGAGAGGCATTCACAAAAAGAGGTGGAGGAGGCACACACACCTCTTAACCTACTGAGAGAGAGTGAGACAGAGAGGAGAGGAGGGGGATAGAGTAAGAAAGGAGACAGAAACAGACAGAGAGACATGGGGAGAAAGAAAGATGCACTGATAAATTTTGAATCAAAAGGAGTGAAGCCTTGTGCTTCTCTTTGATCTGCTGTGTCTCTATACTTTCAGCATTAATAAGGACACTGGTGAGAATATACCAGTGTAGACATGGGAGCCTGCTGACACTCACTGTGATGTGAATCAAAGACAAAGAAGAGATGCTGTTTATACTGCTGACCAATTATTAACAATAATTACTCATTACTAAATGGTCACAGTGTTTTAACTGTATTCTGATCACTCAGAAGTGTCTGAGAAATGACTGAAACTTGACTAAGATCATGTGAGGAATCCATTTGTGTCATGGATCTATAGCTTTTATGTCCAGCAGTTGTTATCATCAATGAACTGGATCGGATAATGATTTTGTGGCATGTAATGCGGTGAGAAAAACTTTTCAGTGGCACCACTGATGAATCCCATCAGAGACATTTACTCTGGTCACAGTGAAATTCCACTGTTGTGCTCCATGTGGGATTAAAAGTATCTTAAATCAAGACTACTACCTCAGGAATGACACAATGACCCTTCCTCCTCCTGTCCCAAGCTCTTTCCATGCCTAAAAATAGGTACTGTAAACTACCAGAGGGAAATGAGGCAACCTCCTCTAATACCTACTCCTACTGAGAATCGCGGAAAAAGCCAGAGGCTAGAAGTGCATGTGTCTTGCATTTTTGTTTTGCTTTTCGTTTTGCTTCATTTTCATTTTCATCAAAAAAACTGATCTGATTTGAATGAAACCAGCTTTATTCATGTGTTTATAACTGCACAAGAATGTCTGGAGGCGGGAAAATTGAACTTGAATAGTGTGGCACTGGATTTGATCTAATGGTTCTCATTTAGATTCCACTCTGAAGCCCGTGGGCAGAAAGCCCCATTTATATGACTGCTAAAAATGCAATTCGAAGCTATCGCACCTTTTACCCCAAACACTGCACCCCATGCCCAATTCTCCTACTCAATCCAAGTCCTATACCGCGTCCCAAACCCAACACTCTGGCTACATACCCAACCTCTATTCCAATAATCCACCATATCTCAAATACACTAACCCATGCCCAATCCCCCTCCAAATTTATAATACCGAACCACATGCCCAGTATCCTATCCTATTCCCAATATCCCTATCCTATCATCCCATGCCCAATACTGCACCCCAGACCCAATACCAAACCCAATCTCCAATACCCTACCCCAAGTCCAATCTCCCACCCAATATCCATTACCAAAACGTATGCTGAATACCGCACCCCATGCCCAGTACTACATTCCTCACCCAGTACTAAACCCCATTTCCAATACCCTACCCCACCTCCAATACCCCTCCCAATTTCCATTACCAAATCCCATGCACAATACCCCACTCCACGTCCCAATATCCCAGTCCAACTCCAGCCTACCTAATTTCCAATACTCTACCACATGTCCAGTAGTCCACCCCCTCTCCAATACCCTACTCCATCTCAAATTCCCCCACCCCTTCTTCACTACCCTACCCCAGCTCCAATACTCTACCACATGTGCAATACTCTACCCCCTCTCCAATACCCTACTCCATCTCAAATACCCCACCCCATCTCCACTACCCTACCCCAGCTCCAGTACCCTACCACATGTCTAATACTGCACCCCCTCTCCAATACCCTATTCCATCTCAAATAACCAACCCCATCTCCAACACCCTACCACTGCTCCACTACCCTACCACTTGTTCAATACCCCACCCCATCTCTATTTCCCTACCCCATCTCCAATACCTAAATAGTGGCTATTAGCTTCCATGTTTGGTCAAGCTACCCCATCAATACAGAGTACAGAACATCAGTCAGACAGATAATGCATTTCCCCTGCTCTACCCAAGCAGGCTGCAAGACTCAGTGTAACTGTTCAACCTAAAGCAGTGGGCTGTGAAAAAATTCTCCTACGCACAAAAACAAATACAGGAAAGTCCAGCAGGAACAGTAAAAAAGAATAACATAGCCAGGCTATAAGCTTTTTAAATGTTCCACAATGTACTTAGTGTAACAATCAGTCACACTTAAAAGCTAAAAACAGCTTAAACAGACTATAGAATAATGATTATATCTTGATTATACCATTTAATGGTTTTCCCGTTATGGCCAAGCAAGTTTTAAAGTTCCCCTGAGGACAGATCTTTTTTAATAAGAACAGTTGTTTAGGACACTTCCTGTGTGAGCAATTATGTGATGACAAAAGCTGTTTGCTATTTTGCTATTTGCAGTAAACCCAATTGAATTTTCCAAAAGACATACATACGCAACGTTTTATGCATCCTAATGAAAAGCATAAGTATTAACAGCACTATTACCCCTAATAAAACCACAAAGGCGTAAATGCTTAATGGGTGAAATGCATCTTTCCCAGTTAAGCGCTGTTCTTGATGCTGGCGTGTTAAGGGGCTGTTTATCAGGCTTGCGCTCCCTGTGGTGGCACCACGACACGCCACTGCTCAGGGTTCATCATTGTGACACGGCCCACATGCCAGCAGCCGGGTGGGGGACTATTTTATACCCAGAGCACAGGAGAAACCATGCAATACCCTAGAGAAAAACAATTGCCGCTACATTCATTTTTTTAGGTGGTCTTTCATTTTCACGTTTCGAATTTTGTTCTCTGTTTCTGTCTCTGTGGGTTATTTTCCAATAACATTTTCACAGGATATTACTTTAATGTTGCTTGTACTTTCACAGTGATCATAAGACAGTGCTGGAGAAAGAGTGTGAGGCTTCACATTAGTGAACAATCAGTGTCTGCCTCCATCTTTTCTGTTTATGTCCTATTGACCCAACATCCCTATGTCAGAGGAAGCTAGCAAACATATGAGGTGGGATTTTAGCTACTCTACACTTACAAAATGACTAATCAGAGCCATGAAAGTGGGGCTACTCAATACAGACAAAGTAAAAGGTACCATAAGTGGTTCTCTGGATTAATGTAATAAAAGGCCACTTTTGGTTTCTTGAAGAACCTTTCAAGCAGTTCTGTCACAATTGCGACACAGATGTCAGATCGCAATTATTTAAGCTGACAGCAAATCATGTGTCTAACAAAGACAATAAAAGTAGACTAGACTCAATGCTATAACACTTTTTGCATCAAAGAATCAATTCGGCCACTTTAGTCTTGTACTTTAAACACTTGTATAAAATGACCAAAAAGGTAGTTTAACTATTAATCGTTGGTATCATATTAGACTTACTCATCTGCTAAAACTTTGGGATGGTAACAGGGCTACTTTCAGCTGATGGTTCTATAAAGAATCATTTTTATAAATGAGATGTGCCAGCATGAAGAATCTTTTTACAAATTAAAGAATCTCCACATAAAAGCTTTTATAGCAAGTAAAACTTTTTCCTAGAACTGCACATCCAAGCCAAGAACCCAGATTGTGATTGGTTAAAGAGCTCATTTGCATATTGTAGCCTTCTGTAATATCACTACACCATAAATGTAGGGAAAGTCTAATAATTGCATTTTATTGCTACTTAATAATGTTTTATTTCCAATTTTGTACATGGCAGCTATACACACTGATACGTACTGACTGTTACACCTTACCAGTCACTCATTGTTTATTAACTCCTTTCTGCAGGCCTCCCGGTGGCCATTCTGCCAGTGTAATGCATCCTTTTGCTAGCATTCTTCTTCCGGGTAATTGGAAAAAAAAAAGACCTTCCTTTCTCTGTTTGATTAGCTTCCACAATTCAAACAGGAACAGAAATTCACCTTTTTTTACTCTTTTCCTAAACTCTGTATAACATGGTCATGTTAGTGTCTACTGTTTTTACTCCATGCTTAAAATAGCGGCTCATTTTGTTGTCATGTGAAAGGAGACTATTAATCTTAAGGAAATATAGAGGACAGCTGTGTTTTTCTTTTAAGCATGCAGGTCACTAATGTGATCTGTACAAACTGATGTCAGATACAGGCCACATTATGAAGATAATGTGCACAACCAAATTACAAAATCAGATTTGGGCAGCTGTGCAGTTGGGCAGATTTAGGCCACTTTTACCTGCAGTCTGAACATAGCCACAGCATCAATAGCCACATATACATGCAGCCTAATAATCCATTAAATGATCCGACTAATAGCTCAATCAGAATAGAACATGTCCACGTATACACCTCAGTCAGAATAGACAAGTCCTATTGAGGCCACTCGAATTACAATTTCTATCCTACTTATCAAGGTGGGTAATCCTGTAAATAACCCATTAAATAAAAGAATAATAACCAGGTAAACACCTGTATCTGATTACATTCCCAATCGGAAAGTTTAAGTACGTTCTGCGCATGTGTGTCGCGTAATAGTGAAAGTTTATAACTTTCAACATGGCGGAGCAGAAACTGGTCTGCAGAAGAGACGAAGTTTGTGCTCTGATCTTTAAAAGACGGCGGTGGGACGGACGTCCAGCTTATGTGTCTCAGAACACAACGTCTTCCTCTCGGCCTTCTTTAATAAAGACATGTGAAGTACGTTTTCCTGAGTCTGAGCAGTTAAAAACACAAGCACTGCTCACTGCTGCTCGTCTAACTCTGACTGGACTTGTGATGCTCATTGTCATGGTAACATCTACACTAAGTGGTACTCTATGCATGCATGTAACTTTGGATCGGATTACTGTAGTGTGCATTAAATGGAGATTTTCAACAGATTGCTAAGTAGAGTGAACATATAAACACCTCAGTCTTAACCTAATCGGAATGTATTCAATTGGACAGTCAAAATTTTTCGCATGCAAACACAGCCACTGATGCAAGCACCACTCTTATTAAGCATAAGTTACTTGTGTGCTAATAGTGCTCCTTTGTAAGGCCCTGTTCACACTTGGCATCAACTTGCATCCTGGGTGATGTGATCATAAGTGGGCAACACCAAGTACGGGTGTGAACATGGTTTTGGAAACGCATGATCTAATCACTCAAACCACACTCGGATACGTATGACCACAGCACACTGCTAAAGCTTTCTGGTCAGAAACTTCTTTGTCAAAAGAACACTTTGTTTTCGGCACGATTTTTTTACTTTGAACTGCTGTTTTAACTCAGTAACCTTTCCTCCTTCTCAGTGTCTATTATTTGCGGGGTGCCTCAGGGCTCTATTTTGGGTCCTATTTTGTTCTCTTTATACATGCTCCCTCTTTAGTCCCTCTTTCAGAAGTACAGCATCACCATCAGTGTTATGCAGATGACACACAGTTATACCTCCCACTTAAGCTGGGTGAAAATGGCTCTCTGCGCCTCATTTCCAATTGTCTGGGAGACATAAAGTGCTAATTTAAACCAAGACAAAGCAGACATTATTACATCTGGAAATCCTGATTTGGCCAGTGCTATAGCTAATGATCTGGGGCCATTATTGTTTAATGTACAAAAAAAAATGAGGTTCAAAGGTGACTGGGCCTTTTCTGTAGCTGCTCCAAGACTGTGGAACAGTCTCTCATTTTTCATTAAGGCATCACCAGCTAAAAGATATAGATAAAAAACTATTTTTTTTCCTCTTCTCTCTCTTTTTAAAAACTATATACTCAGTCATCTGTTCTGTCCTGCTGTCAGTAGCTCTTGAACTTTTTATTATTATTTTTATTTAATTCATTTTTTTCCATTTATTTTATAGCGAAGTTTTGATTAGTCATTGGTGGCCTTTCTAATCTACTTTTCTCATAAAATACTACATTCATATTTATTTTGATTGATTTTATTGTGCAGAACTTTGGCCGACACTTGTCTTTCAAACGTGCTACATACATAAAGCTGGCTCGACTTGGTTGGCAGTGTTTGTTATAGGATTAATAAATTGCATGGTTACAGCCTGCAAATCACCTTTTGTGAAAATGCTACTGTTACTGTAGCTATGTGTTGTCTTTTTCTGGTTTTAAGAAAATTAACAAGCACAACAACGAATACGAAAAAAGCTCAACCTCATGCTGCTGCAGATCGTTCTAAAGCCAGACAACAAATCAAGCCTGATTCAGTTACTCATTGAAAGAAAACATATACAAACATATACAAATATCTTTAAGCTGTAAATGGCATATTTTAAGATATTTATATTGTCCAACTTGAGTGCCAATCACAACAGATTGGTGATTCATACTTTTGTCAATCGGCTTAAGCCTAGACTGCCCCCTTGTGGAGAATCTTTAGTTTGCTGAACACGAGTGAGTGATCAGCTGCCTTTGAGTAGTTGAATGAAGCTTCCTTTTCTATCTGCTTTCTTTGATTTTGCCTGACCATATAGTCATGTGAATCTATATGATACCAGTATATTTAATAAGGCTGTGGGTAACCAAACAAGAAAGTAGACAGTAAAAGAGGTTTCATTCAGCTATGATGAAGTCAGTGAGTTACAAGCCAGATCCACAATGTGCTTCCCATCTAAACTTCATGCTGCTCATATGGAGCCTCATTACTTTCATAAAATATTGTCCACTTATTAAATTCATCCCATTCACAAACTAAACAGAGCTGGCAGAGGATATTCTTTCCTTTGTTGTATCTGCTGCTTTGCTTAAAGTACAGCTGGGAGGCGACGGGGAGGTTGGCAGGTCATTTGAATGTCATCTCTGTTATCTAGCGTAAGTGTTTGCTTTTCCTCGATGCTGCATACTTACTGACGCTACATGAAGCTGAGCAAAGCGATCTGACGGTGTAAGCTACTACAGGCTTGTCTGCTGAAGAAAGGAAGATGATGACAGCACAAAATATGCAGCTTAATTAATGAAACTAACTACAGTCAAGTCAGAAAAATTGACAAAAAATGAAGACAAACCAAGAGGTGATGCAAAATACACCACTTAAAAGAGCTACAGTTGGTAATTATAGTAAACACAGTAAGAATAATGAATGAAGCTTATTCTCTAAACCCAGGCAACTTCAGTAAGGTTTACTTGATCATGCACAAGTTGCTGTGAATCGGCTACAAGCACAATCTGACAGCATTACAACAACAGGCTTTGCTTCAGACTCTGCGCTAGACTCGTTTTTCATTGAATTCCTGCTCCAGAATCCCCCTGGGAAAGCAGGTGGTCTTTGAAGGGAAAACTAATACAAAAGGAAAACAATGACTTCATAAATCTTGTCATAAAACTCAGCTCAGTTTCCACAGATCTACACTGCCTTTCAACTGCAGCTACAAATGGGCCAGCATCTGTACTACACACACTTTAATGATGGTAATCATTACTGAAAAAAAGATTGTTTGAAGAACACTGCAACTTTATTAAACACACTTCTTGATATTTTTACTTGTTTTAAGTAATTTTATCTAATGAAATGGATCTTATTCCATGGGCGGGTAATTTTGCTCAAGAAATAATGCGCATAGATTGACCACATTTAAGATTAGGGAAGAAAGACTTGGGGAAAATATCTTATTGTGATTTTTCTGACCAATATTGCGTTTGAGATTTAAATACGATTACTTTAAATTAAGTTCCAGGCCTTTTCCAAGAAAAACAGCACATCCATTTTTCAGGCTTGAGGCTTTAATACTGAATGTAGTGAAACTGCCAGTTAACTCTATTATTAGGTTAATTTCTTCAGTTAAAACCTGAGCGTTAAATAATGTGGTTTACAATTAAAGGGGAACTCCATCAATTTTTCAAAAACTCTGCATGGTTGAGATGTAAAGAAAGTCATTCAGAATGGTTTGATATGAAGAGCTCCATTGAAGAGAAACTTCGCAAGCCAGAATTGCTCAACATGGTTTAACAGAGGTTTAATGCCTCTAAAAGCTCCCTCAGATAAAGTTATTACATGAAATGGTTATGAATACACTGCATGATGTCTGTATGTTAAGGTTTTGGTCCAAAAACCTGTTTTTTAAATACACTTATAGTGGAGAGGTACAGGCACAGAGTTGTAAAATGAAATAATCCCATAGAAAACTTATTTTTTCAGATTTGCCACAATTTCATCACGATCAACATTACATATAAAAACTTGTGTAGGCTCAGTGCTGGTTTTGGATTGTGAATAAAATGGCTATGTTTGTGTTGTAGCCTTTGAGACCCCTGTTTCCTATCACCACCACTGTAAAGAAATCAGAGTCAGTAAGTTTCTCTACAATGAACCATTTCACATCAAACCACTCTGAATGACTTTATTTACATATTAAAACTAAATTTTATAGAAACTTTGAAAAACAGGTGGAATTCCCCTTCAAAATTGCATCTCTTATGACTTGAAAATTGTGCTCTTTTAAATTGCGGCTTTAATATACAAACGATTCATTGCTCAGCCCTTCATAATGATTTCACAGTCCAGTTCAGTGTTTCTTTACTGCCGTTTGAAAGTACTAAAACTGGAATTTTAAGTGTGGACCTCACTTAATAGCACATTCGAAAGAAGTACAAAATATGACAATAATTATAATAGCAGAAGGTGACACCAGAAACCCATGCTTAAAAACATCAAAAACTGGTCAGGATATTATTTTGTACAGAGGCTTTCTGTGAGCATGTCCTTGTAATGTCAGGTGGACACACCCCTGAGATCCTGGCTGCATTACTAATGTCCACATCACTGACACTGCTCACATCACAGACAGATACAGAGTCTTACACAACACAACCAAGCTGAGCTAAAGAGGAATAATGCAGACTCACCCCCGTGTGGTCTAAACATGAGCTTAGCTACTTCCCCTTCCAATCTCAGTTCCTCTCGGCTAGCAGTCGCTCTCGTCTGCTGCTTTGTTGAAGCGCGAGGTAAACTGATCTTTTAATTACTGCTTTTCTACGGGGCAGCAGCAGCAGCCGGGACCACTCACTCTCACACTGCAGCACAGCAGGCGAGACTCGCTCTCTCGCACGATCTCTTTCTCTACTTCTCTACTTCTTCTTTTCTCTCACTCCATCTATCTTTTTCTTTTCCCCTCTCTTTCTCTCTGTTTCTCTCTCTGCATACCTATCTCTTATTCTGCCTGTGTATCTGTCTGCCTCTCTGTCTGTTTCCCTCCCTCTCCCTCTCTCTCTCTCTCCCTCTCTCTCTCTAATATATCTGGTCTGGAGCCTCTTTGCTCTGCTCGCTTGCTCACTCGCTCACTCTCTGTAGCTACGTTGCTAGGCGAGGGAGGGGAGTAATAAAGAGGAAGTCTTAAAATGGCACTTCCCCAAAAATCCTCCCAGTTCCTTCCTCTGAGTCCAGCTGCTCTGGAGAGAGAGAGAGAGAGAGAGCGAGCACATGAGAAAGAGGGACAGAGAGTGAGAGCATCAGAACGCATGAGATACTGGGAAAAAGAACATGAGAGAGAGAGCATGAAAAAGCATCATGAGAAAAAAAGGAGAGAAAGTTAGAGAGAGAGAGACAGACAGACAGAGAGAGAGCAGGAGAAAGCTTGAGACAGGGAGAGCAAGAGAAAGACAGAGAAAGAGAGAAAGGATATATATATATATATATATATATATATATATATATATATATATATATATATATATATATATATATATATATAGAGAGAGAGAGAGAGAGAGAGAGAGAGACGAAGAAAGAGGGAGAGAGGGTGCAAGTGAGAGAGAGAGCGGGAGCAAGCATTAGACATATGGAGAACAAGAGAGACAGAGAGAGGGAGGGAGAGATGGAGAAAGAGAGAGGGAGAGGGGTGCAAGTGAGTGAGAGAGAGCATGAGAAAGCAAGGCAGAAAGAAAAATAAGAGAGAGAGAGATGGAGACAGAGAGAACATGAGAAAGCATGACAGAGGGAGGGAGAGAGAGAGAGAGAGAGAGAGAGAGAGAGAGAACGTGAGAAAGAGAAAGAAGGGAAAGGAAAAGAGTGTAAAAGCGAGAGACAGCGCATGAGAAAGCATGACAGAGAGAGAGAGAGAGAGAGAGAGAGAGAGAGAGAGAGAGAGAAAGAGAGAGAGAGAGAGCACCTGTCTGTGTGTGTAAACAGGGAACAGTGAGGTCGGACTGTGTAAGCTCAGAGCTCTAAAGCAGCTGCCCTTAAAAATAAAAATAAAAAACAAAAAAAAAAGAAAGAAAGAAAGAAAATATTTCTGATTTGTGAACCCGAGAGCCAAATCACAGAAACACAATACAGCCAGCACTCTGTCACACACACACACGCACACACACACACGCACACACGCACACACACACAATAAAAACATTGTAAAGCTCAGCCACGCAGGCCGTCTCACAGCATTAAACGGGATTTTGCATTTTCTCAAGCCTCATTGTTGGGCCTCCTGGCCACACCGACCAGCCCAAGTAACCAAATCCACACTGCAGCCGGCCCTCTCTCTCTCTTTCGCTTTTACTCTCGTCCCCCCTCCCACCCCAATTTTGCCCTTGCTCTTTCTCTCACTCCCTCACCCCCAAATCTCTCAGTTTAGTTCAGCAGTGCTTTGTTGGGATGAATGTAACAAGATACACTATTGCCAAAGCAGCTGACAGTAAACATGTAAACATAAATAAGAGAAAGATATAGAACTCTCTTCCACACACTCGCTCGCTCTCTCGTTTCCCCCCTCCTGCGCCTCACACACGCCTTCTGAATGGGAGCAACTAAACACTGACATGACATCAGACGCAGGAAGCCTAAACCCAGGCCTTCAGGTTCCCCCTTCACTCTCTTTCTCTACGCTACAGTGCTGTGCTTTGTTTTCTGTTGTTGTGGTTCCTGCTGTAACCCTACAATTTCCTTTAAGATCAGTAAAGTTTCTGTGTGCATATCTATGTAAGTATATGACTGAGAACTTTATTAGGACCACTGACACACCTACTCATTCATCCACTTATCTAATCAGCCAATGGTGCAGCAGCAGTGCAGATGGTAGGATCACAATTTGGTGCCAACAGCATGAATCCATGGACCCAACCTGCCTTGTATAAACAGTCCAGGCTGGTGGAGGTGGTGTAATGGTGTGGGGAATGTTGAGGCCCTACACAGTATTAGTGTAGTATCTGTCTCTCTATCTATCTATCAGCTTTTCATCCATCCATCCATCCATCCATCCATCCATCCATCCATCCATCCATCCATCCATCCATCCATCCATCCATCCATCCATCAGCATTTCGTAAACCTACTTATATACATGGGGCCGCACGGTGGCGCAGTGGGTAGCGCTGTCGCCTCACATCAAGAAGGGCCTGGGTTCGATTCCCAGCCGGGCGACCAGGGTCGTTTCTGTGTGGAGTTTGCCTGTTCTCCCCGTGTCTGCGTGGGTTTCCTCCGGGTACTCCGGTTTCCACAGTCCAAAAACATGCAGTCAGACCAATTGGACATGCTAAATTGCCCCTAGGTGTGAGTGTGTGTGTGAATGTGTATGTCTGTCTGCCCTGCGATGGACTGGCGACCTGTCCAGGTTGTATCCTGCCTTCCGCCCAATGACAGCTGGGATAGGCTCCAGCACCCCACCGCGACCCAGAAGGATAAACGGTTTAGATGATGTACATACATGTGTGTATACATCATCTGTAGATACATATATATATATATATGGTATATATATACTCCAGCCAGCAGCGTCCAGTGACCACTGATGAAGGACTAGAGGATGACCAACCAACACAAACTGTGCAGCAGCTATCGTCTCATCTACAAGGTGGACTGACAAGGTAGGAGTGTCTAATAGAGTGGACAGTGAGCAGACACAGTGTTTAAAATGTTCAGCAGCTCTGCTGTGTCTGATCCACTCAGACCAGCGTAACACACCACCACGTCAGTGTTACTGCAGTGCTGAGAATGATCCACCACCCAAATAGTACCTGCTCTGTGGGGGTCCATGGAGGTCCTGACCACTGCAGAACAGGATAAAAGGGGGCTAACAAAGTATGCAGAGAAACAGATGGACTACAGTCTGTAATTGTAGAACTACAAAGTGCACCTATATAGTAAGTGGAGCTGATAAAATGGACAATGAGTGTAGAAACAAAGAGGTGGTCACAATATTATATGTATGTATATATATATATATATATATATATATATATATATATATATATACACACACATATATACACACACACATATGTATGTATATATATATAGAATGAATTAACAGCATGTCCTTTGCGCTGCAACTGAAAACGTTTACACGTGTGTGTTTCAGTGAATTTTTTTCTAAGAAAATGTGTTAATTATGCTTTAGCAGGAGAGAGTAGAAGAAGATGACGCAGCAGAAGAAGAAGAAGAAGAAGAAAGAGAAGGACATGATGAAAATGAACTCTGTTGATGTGAGGAGCTCCATCTCAGCCAGTCCCCCGACACACCGATCAGTTAGAGGTTGCTTTCATAGACGTTCTAAAACCCTAAAACATCAGGCTCAGTATAGCAGCTCTATATAGAGTTAACACTGCTGTTCTAGGTTGCTCTGTTTTTTCACCCACAACTGAGAGGAAAAGGCCTCTTGTATCTGTGTGGGCGACACAGTTCTGAGAGAAGAACAGTTACGAACGGACTGCATGTATTTAAGAGAACTCCAGACAGATAAGTGCTAACAGCTACTTCTCTTTAAATATGTCAGATATTCATGCTGATGCTTCAGTACGTTTTACTTCCTTTGCAGCTGCCACAAATAACTCAAATAAGCTCAATTAATAAAGAAATCCAAGGTTCTTGACTTGAAACAATAGCGAAACCCCTTTTTGACACTATTCAGAAACATTTTTGTCAAAGTTCTTTAAAGAACCATATCCAACAGGTCCATTATGCAGCCAGAAAGTCTACTTTTATAGTTTGCTTTTTTAATTATTCAGCATTAATGCTGGCAGTCCTAATAAAACAAAAAGTTATTTTAACAATTACACCTTCTTGAGCATCAATTTAGCAATACTGGTTTTAAAATCAATTATACAGAATTCCAAGCACCACAGAAGAGCTCGTCCTCACAGTCATGTGTGAAGGGTGAGGCCATATTCTGAGGTAAAAACCATGTTTTTCTATAGTTTTAACTGCAATAATCTATACATGACTATGCAATATGCCATTTATATGACATTAAGAAAACAACTGGCAAATAAATATTATAAAATATATTATAAAAGTCCCCAAGAGTCATGTCACTGGTGTTACCGCCTAACAACAAATCTCTTATTTTGAACTAATAATCACACCGATGACATCATTTAACTTCCTTTTACCTATTTTCTGAGGATCTATGAAGAAAAGCACATGGTGAGTCCACTGAGTCTTTTCAGTTATCAGAGATTTTCTCATTCAGCTCATGATTTCATATGAAGCTTTTAGCTCAAGTCCCTAAGTCTACTGTATTCTTAGGTCATTGTGAAAAAATAGAATATAAATGGATTAAATTACATATTTTAGTGGATATTCCATGATTAACTACATGTGGTTTGATGTTCTGTAGCAGGCATTTTGTAAAATGCATGTTTCATTAAAAAAGACAGTGTTACCGTCTCTGGTTTACCTTTCTTATGTCTGACACCAACGGGGGATTGGTAACACCAGTGACTCCTAAGGAGAGGCAAAAAAGTGGACGTTTCTGTAGAATGACCCATTAAGGTGTGGCCTGCTATTCTCTCCTCCACTCATTCTCACACCGCTGATCAGCTTAATGACCCCCCGCGGTTAGAGCTCTGCTAAACTGTCTGGATCGCAGGCCCACTCACAGTGAAAATGACATCATCACTACACACTCTCAACCCAAACACTCACGCCTTCTAAGCCACCGCACCGCCTGAACTATCAGCACCTCTTAAACTGCCTTCATCCAAACGGGATTTCACACACAAGCTTGTTATTTAATTCTAGCTGCACAGGTGTGACAGAGAAGCCAACAGATGGCAGACGGAGTGCAGAATCACTGGTACAGTAAGGGAGCTTTTCAACCAATTAGATTCCACCCCACTTCATTCTGAAGTAAGAGTTGTTTCCACAGATCATTCTAGGTCTCTTGATGTAGCACTGAGACAATAAGCACTACAAATCTGATTTTCTTCTGAACTGTTATGTTATGAACTGGTCATAATATTCCATCTGCGTGCCTTGTGCTGGCATTTTGTGTGTGGCCACATGGGGTGGCCCTCCTGTATACAAGAGGCCACCTAGCCACTACCTGAGAGACATTCAGGGCTCTCTACCCTCTGACATGACCTGGAAGTACACAGCCTGGCTCTCTTCACTCAATTATGCTTCGCTTTGCTTCTTTTGTTAAATTTCATTA